TCTTTCTGCACATAAAAATGTACTAATCTATATTCATTTTATTGGTACAGTAATTCTTATTCATTAAGCATAGTCTGACACAAGGCCACAATTGTGGGGTACTTAATGAAGATTGAATTCACTACAATAGTAATAACCTGCAGTATAGTAGCTCAACAATGACTATTGTTTATAATTTTTTAGTAATATATGGTATTTTTAGCCCTTTCATAATGTACTAAATCCAATGTGAAATGTACATTAATTAAAACTGGTTATGAAGAACTGTTTTAATGAAAACTTCTGATTCATCAGTTTGAATCAAATAATTTTGATTTTTTTTTTTTCCAATTCTGTTAATCTTTGACTATTTTCTTGTTTACATTTTTGTTGCAATCTTCAGATTGTTTTGTGTAATTTTTTTTTTGTTTGTTTTTGTATTGACATTTATGAAAGCAGCATGGATTGGAAATTAAGAAAAAACCTTTCCACAAAGTTTGAATGTCTGATTTTGCAAAACAATGCCTTATGAATTACAAAATTTAACCAATAGATGCCATTCAAATGTAAGAGAGGCAAGTTGCTTACTTAATTTGTTTTTCAATAAAAATAAGATAAATTAAAAATAAATTAATAATATTAGGTATGTGCAAATACTGCCAGTGTCTTTTATTAGAAAGAAATGAATTTCTAGTGGATATTCAGGCTAATTAAAAAAAAAAAGAAAAAAAAAAGGGCACTAGGAACATTTTTTGCACAATATCATCCACAGAACTTTTTTTGCTGAAACTGAGAATTAAACAGATTAATTTTGTCTTCTTAGTCACAATGACAATGATATTGTATCATTTGTCTAAAATCATTATTACTTGCTTGAATAATGACAACTTTAAGAAACTTAATTCTATAAATACTTAAAATGTTTTTTCCTTAAAAAGTGAAATTGCTATGAAATGGTATTAAAAAAATCTTTTTTTCCCTGCCAGGTCAAATATTTCCAGCAATGAAGTTGCAAGTGACTCTTTTTTGCCTGCTGCATTTGTTATTACCAAAACTGTGTGCATCTTGGTCCAACTACATTGTCCCCTACAAAGAAGAATTCAATATTACATGTCCTATTTACTTTAACTCCTCAACCCTACCACACATTTACTGGATCCTACCTTCCAGAAAACTTGTCACCGCCCCCTATTTAGATGATCCTATTCAAATTTCTAGTGATCCTGCAACCAATTTGACCATCAAGTCAATATTGTGGGATACTTTTGGAGTCTACTATTGTTTAGCTGTGTGGAAAAATCAGACCTTAGACATGGCAGCTGTGGGAATCAATGTTGATGTCACACTCTGGCATCTCAAGTACAGGTCAAAGTTCATCAATGGTCTGATTTCAGCTGCTTGTTTGCTGTTATTTATGATCGCATTTTTTCTTGTCACTGAATTTCAATACAAAGAGCCAAATAACTGTAGTGAACAGGAAATGGACAATTGTAGTATTACCCTCGCAGATGTAAGTGCAGACAATGCAAAAGGTGATGAAAAGACAAATTCAGGTATTGAACAAGCAAGTATTTAAATGTAAATAATTTATGAAGTGAAAACATTCATAATGACAAAGACAAAGATTTAAAGTATTAAAATTGCCAAAATCTCATACATATATTTTTGGCTTCATAAGTATTATTGTACCTGATTAAAAAAAAAAAATAAATAAATATGCAAATATAAATAATTACCATTTTGTTTACTGAATTATATCAAGAGACAATTAAAAAAAAAAAAAATGAAAGGAAAAAAAAAAAAAAAAGGTTTCCAGGAAGGCTTTTGAAGATACAGAGTTTAAGAAGTGGCATTTAACTAACATGATTGGATTTCTACAAAAACGACATTTCTATAAACCACAGCACTTTGGCATGAACCACACGAGATATATATTGACTAATTAGCAAGCATAAATTCTTGATAGTTCTAATCCACTTGCGTCTTCAGTTGAATTAACATTGCTTTAAGTAAACACGTTTTACTGACATATCATAAAAACGGTCAGTTCAAAACTCAAACAGTGAATCAATTTTAAATTTTGGGTGAAATAACAAAGGAGTTACAAAATCTTTTTGTATGCAGAATGAAGTTTATGGAAAAGAACACAAGTTGCACAAGAAATTTTATGTCGATCGAGATGATGAACATGATTTTGTGTAAAAAAAAAAAAAAAAAAAAAAAAATCCTGGTGATCTTTTCATCACTGGAAACTATTTCTGCAATCATTCTGATGCTGAGTTGCTTATTCATTTTGAAAAAAAATTTAAACACTTTCTGGCTGTGTATGACCACTCACATTGTTTATCTTTATTTTAACATTCCTTCGATCATTTTTACAACAAATCAGAAAAACATGTCTATGTTGAGCAATGTGTAACAGTGAACTGATGAGTGGATCAAAACTTTCAGGTGTTGTTTATGCTTGCTCGTTTGGCAACATATATTACATGGTTCTCAAATGTGTACTCTACTACTACTTATATATAAGTCCAATCACATTATTTAATAGATACATCTTGCAGATTTATGGATACATTTTTTCTTTTATCAATTAATGTTAATTTGTTTTTTAAAGTTGTAATGTTATTCAAGAACTATAAATGTAAATAAATAGTTAAATTCATTTTTGTTTGTAATTATTAGATAATAATTTGAATATAAAATGTTAGTTCATTGATAGAATGTTTTGAACCCCAAAACAGGATTTATCACCATGTACTTTATTAAAGTTTTTAACATCTTTGCTGTTACATAATACATGTGTGCATCTTTCCACTAACACATATGTGCATCTTTTCCACTGTTTTAAGATAATATAAAATGTTTGTGATTGATACATTTTGCAGCATTCTTTCACTGTATAGTTTTGGGATTTGAATATGGAATGGGATTCCAACAGATGATTTTTACAAAAGCAACAATAATAGTTTGATTAAAAAGGGCCATATTTTATCTCAGTGCTATTGTTCATTTTTCCTTCGTCTATAGAAATGTTTTTAGTTTAATAAACAAAAAATTATCCACAGTGTCACCACAGACTGGTAGGGAGGGAAACTGGTACCAAGGATATATTAGCATCATATAATTTACATTTAATGAGATCCAATATCCCATATGAATGGACATTTCACCTCCTAAGGAAAAATTCCTTACCGAGGCTGTTCAATACAAAAATGCTCTATAATAAATGTACTGAGCTCTCTTTGTGGATCAGTTTTAATATTAGGATTCACTTGGATTTTATATAGTTTTCCTAATAATTTAATAAATTTTTATTTTATTTACCAAAATAAAGTATTATTCCTATATAGCAATTTCTCATGGTAACTAACAAAAGAGATGGCATTATCTAAGAGTTCAAATTGCCAAGGTAGCAATGAACATGTTAAAATGATGAATATTAATTTGTTGGATAAGATATAAAAGTTTGACTTCATCTGAATGATTTCCTTTTGAAAATTATTCAAATTAAAGCCAAATAAGGTAGGGACTTCATATTTAGTATTTTTTCTGTTTTAAGATGAAAGAAAAAAAAAAAGCACTGAAATCAAATATATTAGATTATCTCAAACTTTTGTATAGTTTTATGCAAATAAAATTGAGTCTTTTCTATTTGTGACCGAAATAATGTAGAAAGACTGAAACAATTCAATTCATATTACTATTTTTAACTACAGAGAATTAAATTGTCACTTTCAATAAAATATACTGTTTAGTTTTTGTTTTTAATTTCAAAAAATAAATTTTAAAATAATAAATCTTGTATAAATGAGAGAATGCTAAAAAGTTCTTGGCTTAACCAAATGATTTTTTTTTTTTTTTTAAAGCCATCTTTTCAGCATGCTGTAGTAAATATCAATGTTTCTGGATAAATGGATGCATTCTGTTAGCAAAAGAGAATTATTTTAACCTTTTTTTTTATTTTATTTTTTTAAATATTCACTAAATAAAAAAAAAAAAAATATTCTTACAGAATAGAGCATTTTTCTTTAACCAAAGCAAATTTGGGTTCACAAGCAATGAATAGTGATTTTGCTCCTTACTCCAAAATGTATCAAGCAAATTTATGCAAAAAAAAATGTGGTATCTGCTAAGATTTTAATTTTAAAACCTGGAAATTCGATACCGGTGTCAGTTAAAAGTATTATTGGTTCTAATTTTAGATGCATTAGAATTCCTATGACATTTTTTAAAGCTGTAAACAAATGTTGAGAAACCCAAGGGAAAAACTTTGTAGTGTTACCTTCACATTTCTAGCCCATAATTCTTTTAACAAAAAAATCTGAATATTTTGAACATGTGTAGAAAGCAAAGAGCAATCATAAAATCTGTTCTTTTATAAAGGAAAAAATGCTGCAGATATTTATAGGAAGTTAGTAAATGTTTTATGGAAAGGCTGCATTTGATGTAAAGACAATAAGCAAATGGGTCCGTAGTGTTAATGGCAATTTGATAGATGAAGAAGAAACTTATCTTAGTGGTAAGCCAGTTGCTGTTGAGAATAAGAATCAAACATGATGAAGGCATTCTTACAGCTGAAAAAAAAAAGAATCAGTATTGCAAAATTCTATAACAGCCTTCAGGTGATCTATGAGAGTGTAGTTTTGGGTTGTGTCAATGTCTCATGCAAAAGGCATTCCCAGAATTCTGGCATGAAAGAGTAGAAGATGCTTGCTGCCGAAGAGCCTCTGACTTTCATCTATTTGGGTCCAAGGATTTTGATTGATTTGTCTTTTTATGGTTTATCAACCTTTTGCAGATTATTTAAAGTCAAAATATTTTTAGATTCTAAGAATGTTTTGGAGATAATAATGATTTACTGATACAAGTAGTACTAATTAATCCTAGCTGGGGGGGGAGTTGAAATGGATTCATATTTTTACCAAGGGTATTTGTGAGTAAGTGAATATAAGGAACCAAACTGGAATTCTGATTTCCAATTCCAAGTAGTTATCCATTACACCACCTGCACATCCAAGCTTACAACACCTGGTATTCCCAAGTGGTCACCCATTTAGGTACTAACCAGGTTTGATGCTGCTTAACTTCAGTGATCAGACAAAAACAGATTTGGGCCCATGGAGAAAGCATACAGAGGACAGCAGTTCTCTAATGACAAGGGGTTAAAAAAGAAGCAAGTTTCACATGGATAAAAACAAAGCAACAAAAAACTTTCTACAAAGTGGATATACATGCTTTCATTTAAGGTTGAAATGACACAATTGAGAAAAGAAAAGACTTTTGAGGACTGGATTTTGAATCCTGAGACTTTTCTGTTCATTTTGGTATTCATTCTGTGCTAGTAGACTATTATATTAAGTCTGTTGTAATTAAAGAACATGCATTACTTTTTGACTGACATGTCTCTTTTACACACGTCCACCCACACACATTTTTCAATTTATTATTTCTTTCTAAGGGAAATAAAATACAAATTAAAGAACTAGTCTCTCAAAACTTATATAAATGCACACTATTACTTTTTTTCTCCTGCTCTTTACATTTATTTCCATTCATCCAAGATGAAAGCTGGATGTAGCACTACAAAGATTTTTTTTTTTTTTTCCTTAATTTCTTAATAAATAACTACTCAGTAAGCAATAAAAGAATAAACTTTTGGAAAGATCTGAACTTGCATCCTTTTTCCTCTGGAAACCTATTTTAACATGTTGGTTTCCTTACTGATTAGACTACAGACACTTTCTGGCTATAATTGAATCTAACCATAGATTTTAAAAAATTTTCTATGACTTCCTGATGTGACTATTTTTTTCCCCCTAAATCTATGTACACTAGTTTTATTAGATGTATTTTTTTTTTTAAATTGTGGATAATGAAATACTAGTTGAAAAAAAAAAAAAAAAATGTAATAATATTTGGTAATGTTTTTATCTGAGAGATGAAAAAAAAATCTCTTCTCAAATTCTGAATCTTATTTTGGGTGGACTTCTTGAGCTAAGTGATTTTTATCAAGCCTTTTTTTTTTTTAATACAATTTCATATTAGGTGAAGTTATAAAAAATACAACTTTACTATTATTAGAACAAAAATAACTAGACACTATCTACAGCCACATCAAAATTTGTAATTCAGATCCTTTCAGCTTAATTATTTCTATCTTTAGTGATACAAGCATAGTGTAAAACACAGTTACATGTTAATCTTACAAGGCAAACAAGAAGGAAAGAAAAGTGCTGGAGATAATGAATATTTTATTATTATTTCTTTGTTGCAAAGAATCAATATTACTCAAAAGTATTTAGAAACAAGTCAGTTTGTAGTTCAACATTTACCAAATGTGAAAACATTTCTTATTGTTGTAGTTCACCAGAGACAATAAGAGAAAATAAATTGTGGATTGAAAAGGAGATCTGAGCATTTGAAAGACTATAATCATTTTCGATCAACATCAGTGAATATCAAAGTTGAATAATTTGACACCAATCTGTGCCACCTCTCTTTACATGTTAGAAAATTAACAGAGACAGTAGATTCTATGCAGCAATACAGTGAAATTATATAAACTATTCTTTTTTTCTTTATTTTAAAATAGAAATGTATTTTTTACCTGTTTCATTATAATATAGCTTTTAATGTTAGGATGAGATGAGAGAGAGGACAGATTATTATAGAATCTTAAAAGGAAACTGCTGCAACAATAGTTATCCAGAATTTGAAAATAAAATTAAAGTGTATACTTTCCTTTCATATAAGTAAGAGGCAACCTTTAAGAATGAAAAAGATTACAATTGTCATTTTTAACTGCTTTCCAAAAACAAAATTTTGTTCCAAAATCTTTTTTTTTTGAGTATCTTATACTAATCTGTGACATATACATGAGAAATTTTAAACTAAAATGCTTCCTTTGTGTTTGTGTCCAAAATGTCTGCCATTCATGTGCTTACATGAATTTAAAGTGCAGAAAAAAAAAAAAAAAACCCCACAAAGAAACGCGCACACACACACACACACACCCACACACCCCTTTTACTCAGAAAATATTGTGTATGTGTTCAGTCTCAGTAATGAGGGGCTCTTGGCGTAGATCTTCTTCTTTTGCAATTTTTACAAAACGAACGCTGCAAATGAGGGCTAGAGTCTGCAGCCCCACGCACACCACAAATATCATCCGGTTCCCATGTTGGAAAACATCCTCATGCAACAACAGAAGGACAACACAGGAAATAAGATTAAGGGGAATGCGAAACCAGTTCATAATACTCATACGATGATTCTCAGGAATTATGGCATTTCTTAGAAAGCCCATAGCTGGAAAGTAGAGGCCAACACCCAGTTGAAAGAGGAGGAATGAGATGAAAGAGAGGCTGGGGTTATGACGAGCAGGATTTGTGGAAATGACACACAAGATATTGGCAAACAGTGCTACAACAACTGAGGTAAGCAGCAAGTTGGTTACAGGCACATTTTTAGATGAGCCAATGTGATAAAGATCAGAGCCAATAAGAATACAAACCATGAAGCTAGAAAAGACAATACCCAAGGACGGTTGACCAGGAACTAGGACAGGAGTCCACAAAAATATAATGATATATATTACGCTTTCATACAAAGATTCAATAGCTCCAATAAGAAAGACTTTTTCATTGGTCAGTGTGTGTTTTAAGCCTTCATAACAAAGTTTTCTGAATCTTACTTTATGACCGCTGTAGTTTTCATTCCAGTGTGTGGACATCATGATGCCAGCAAACATGAGAAATGGAATGGCTAACACATAAGGAGCCACAGGTCCAAGATCAAACCATTCTGAAAAGATGTTTGCTGTTAATCCTGCCAGAGTAGCAAGAACACCATTCCAGAAAGAAGCTTTTGTAAAAGTCACTGCTATCCACTCTCTTGGAAAGTCATGTGTCTCTGAGTGTTCGTGAATGTACCAAGCTTCGAAGGCAGAAAAAAGAACTGAAGTGGCGATTCCACCAATTAAACGACCGATGATAAGAATACCGTAACTACGAGAAAGTTTCAACAAACAGGAAAGGGAATAGAGAATGGTAAAGAGAATGCACATCTTTTTACGGCCAAATTGGTCAGCTGCGAGAGGAATCCAAGTCCCTAAGATGACAGTAGAAGCAAAGCCAAATACATAAAGTACAGCAATTTGTTCCTCTTGGAAGCCATAATAACTATAGAGTTTGTAGAGGTAAGGTCCCTGGAGCCAATCAGCAAACATAGCTGACAAGTAAGCAGCAAAGTAGCCCCGCTGGAACTTTAGGAATTGTGGGTTGTTCCCCATCATAGTGTCTTTCCTGGCACGGTCAGACAAGAATTTTAAGCTAACAGCCAGGAAGGACAAAATAATGAAGGCTACATATGTGATGACCATCATTTTTGTAAGTGATCCTTTGAATACACAGTATCTAATATCACAGTACAGCTCTACAGGTAGACAGGTAAAAATCCTTGTCAGATGCTGCTAAAATCAGCTGAAAAAAAAAAAAGAAAAAGTGAGACATTTCAATGAGAGTTTAATCAGATTTCTGTATTTGTAATTAAAGAACAAAGATACATTATCAAATCTTCATTTGAAGAAGTTGTATATTTCATTTATTTGCATACACTTATCTCAGGTTTTGAAAATAACATCCAGTTTCATACACAAGAATGAATATAAATTTTCTGTGGGTATAATTCAATCTTTACTCAATAAGGTGTAAATCAATTTTCATTTTATGCAAACACATTAAGTTCTATACTAACAGTTTCTTCTCTAACACTTCTTGCTGCTAGAACAATCTTTTAGCTTCTGGGTTTCCAGTCAACTTTGACATTGGATTTAAATTTTTGAAATTCAATCATTTTCTTCTGTCTTCTTAATTCATGTTCTCTTACTGTTCTTTCTCTTTAACAATATTTTTCTTTTTCTCATATTCTTTCACACTCAGTGACCCCTTGTGTTTTAGTGGTATTATTACCTTGCTTATCATAATTACCAAAATGTTGGTCACATGTACAATGGGAATCTCGTTTCACATTTTATGTTTTGATCTTAATGTGAAGTTTTCACATTGCACACAATTAAAAGTGTGAGAGAATATGAAAAAAAAAATTATTAAGGAGAGAGAACAATAAAAGAATAGGAATTAAGAAGACAGAAGATCAAAGTTGACTGGGAAGCAAAAAGATGGAAGATAGTTTCACACATGAGAAAAGAAACTTTTAGCATAGAATGTATGGTTATCCATTTCAACTGTAAAATGATGAGACCTTGCCACCAATCTATTACACTTAAATACATAAAGTAAAGCCTAAGTATCAAAGAGGAAAGCTCATTTAGAACAATTACCATGAAATTATAGTAAGGCACGGGAAAGCTATGTTACAGCAGTTTGAAAGTGACTGAAGCTAAGATACCAGGTTATACCAAAATATTGTAGATTGTTTGTGAAACATAGACCTTCATGCCCATAAACAGAGTTTCAAAAGGATTTTTTTTTTCCATTGACACTGCTACCTACCTCCACTTCTTGGCAATTTTTATTATTTTAAAAAGTGATGTTTAGAATTTTAATAAAACCTAAACATAAAGTGAATTTATTTTATACATTTTTTCTTTGTTTTTGAGAATTGACAACAAAAATAATAAACACTAATCTAATTTATTATTAGATTGTTTGTTTAGTTTATTTTAGACTATTTATTTATTGTCTATGAGTATGACTATCGAAATAGTTGGCAAAACATCGATTAAATTTCCAATGTAGATTCAATTTCAATCTTTATAAAACGGTGAATAAGGATTTCCTAATTGTTTCACATTAATAATTTAGAGTAAAAAAGTTTATAAATTTATGAATATAAAATTTTCATATTTAATTTAATTCTTTATAAATTGGTAAATAAATAATAAATATTGCATTGCATTCATTATTAGTTTTTATAAAAATATAAAATTAATTAATGTAATAAACAATAAATTAGTGTTTAATATTTTTTGTAAATTCTCAAGAACAAAAGAATGTATAAATTCACTTTCATCATATGTTTTAGAGGTTTTAAGTTTTATTCCAATTCTAATCATCACTTTTTAAAAAAACATTAATTGCCGA